GTATGTATTTGACAGATGCTGCTAAAAATACTTTCATGAAAAAAAGTTGGGGAAAAATTCAGGTTTTATTGTATTAAAACCACAGTGACAGAGAAGTGCTAAAATAAAAAAAAAGGTGATAATAATTTGTCTTATTATTTGGGGTATCTAAGAATGTTTGTATGCAATTGTTTTCCTCAGCTATTGTGGAAGTTTAGAAATATTTGTTTTTTAATGGTAAAGAGGTGATAAAATATAAAATAATCCATAGTATAGGCATGCAAGGCAGTGATTGAAGTGATTATACCAGGCTATTTCCTTTAAAATACCCAACAGAGCACCTGCACTTTCAAGGCAGCACAAGGAGGACATAAGTAAGATTTTCCTTGAGGGAAAGAACAAAAGAATTGGACATTTAAATGTGATCATTCTTGGAGCTGTTATATGCATCACAGATGTAATAGACTAAGCGTGGCTGAGAATAAATATGAAGTTTGTTAGAGAGAACCAACAGAACAGTTCATCACTTAAGCAGATATATAATGCTTCAATCAAAAAAAAAAAAAATTACTATGCACTCACTAGAATCAGGACCAAATTCAGACCTCAACTTGCCAGATGGACACTGAATATTTGAGGGAGAGAGGAGGCTGATTACTGATAATCAGCCTATTACAAGCCAAATCAGGCTATTGGATCCCTGCAGGAATATGAGCTCATGCCAGTAAGGTTCTTAACCCAAAGGTAAGCCCTGCCCTTGGGCCAGGCTACCCCAGGACTGCTCTGCTACATAAGCCCTATAAGAAGTGTGGAATATCCCATTTATCCAGGAAAGATGCACCATTTCTCCTGTCAGAAGAATTACTGCATCCAAAGGCACTGTGGAACATTCAATTTGGGGTTTATTCCATTAGGAAACAGATCCTGGCATCAGAAAAATGGAATAGCAATGGCAACTTCTTGTCTGAAAAACTTTAGGTGTCTTTATGGCAATGATGTGATGGTAGTTTTTGACAGTAAAAATCGCATTGGCAGCGAATCAAAATGTTTGCATGTGTGAAAACACTCCTATCACAGAATTCTCTTCTCACTTGAGCAATCTAAGGGAACCTGAAGAATTCAATGCTGAAAACAGGTACTGCTGTGAGGGTGTTGTTTGGGATGTGGCATGAGATCCATATACTGGCACTGGATTTTAGGTAATGCTCTTTAAAGGCCATTCACCTGAAAAAAAAAGGCTGTCAACAAATTTGAATTCCATTTCCAGAGGTCTTATTTCAGTTTTCTGATGCCGTGGCAGTACAAAATCCTCATCGGTTGTCTAAATTCCTGTCAGTTTTTTGTCATTTATTGTGTGCCTACAGTTTTTTTGGAAGGGTTAATTCCAGTCAGTCTACAACACATTGCTAGAGTGTATCAACACTTGTCTAAATATCAGATATTTTCATCTGAAATTTGAGGTTTTTCTGGTTTGAAGTTTCTCAGACACAGCACACAAAATACAGATTTTTTTTTTTCCTCACTTCTGCTCCTATGCAGAAAACCCAGCACAAAGGCATGTGAAAAGTGCCCAGAGATTGAGTCAGGAGTTTGTGCAGTCAGGGACTTGTTATGTCACAGAGTCACAGCTTTAGTCACAGGTCTAACACAGAAAACATGACATGATTTTCATGTAGCATTAACTTTTTTTTTTTTTTTTAATATATAACTCTATTATTTCTCTTGAGAGGGGATAAAGGTTTTTGCACCTGGCAATACAAGTGCTCAGTGTGCCTTGATTACAGCTTGAGAGGCATGATTGCCTCGATTCAGATTATCACTCACTGCCCAGGAACCCAAGGCACTAAACCTACAAACCCCACCTAGTAATGGACATCTGAGCTCAGAAAAGAAGAAAAGCATGAGTAGATATGGAAAATAAAGATGGCTAAGAGATGATCTTCACACATTCAGTGAAATGCATGATGGCATTTAAATTTACATTTTTTTTTACATTATTTACATCAGAAAGGCACCACAGCCTCTACAGTTTTGGGTGTCTTGTCTACAGAAGGGATTGTAAAGATGGAAATTCAACAAACCAAGCAAATAAAGAACACCAGTGCACCATTTCAAGGCACAGATTCTGCTGTGAGCACAGCACAACTTCTATATATGTAATAAAATCTTCTGAGAAGTGTTTTGGGGTTTTTTTTGTGTGTGGTTCCTGATGAAGATACCTGTTGTGTCACTTAGTTAAGCACATTTCTCAATAACAACGTGGCCAATCATAATATTTGCAGTGTATGTCAGCAGCACAGTTAATTACTGACTATCAGGGGAACTTGCCTTAGGGTGATCAGCAAGGTTTGAACAACAGAATCAGCCTGTGTGCAACAAATTAAATTGATTAATGGTTGTGCTTCTGTTCTACACAGGAAGGGAACATCCCAAATCCCAGGCATTTTATGTATTCTTTGGCATGAGGGACAGAAGGAGGACACTGCAGCTTTTCCTGCAGGCAGGTACCAAACTGCACTGTGGGCACCCCAATGTCACCACATTCAATGTCATCATTACATGGTGGCCAAATGCCACACAGTCACCTAAAGCACAAGAGAACACAAAGGGCCAATATCATTTCTCGAGGAGAGAAATGATCATTCCTTCTGTTTATCTCCACCCTCAAGAGAATTTTGAAGAAAGGCAAGGCGTTAAAAACGATTTAAATAAAGAAATGTGCTAATCCTAGCAAGTAAAAATTGCATTTCTACGGGAGGCTTTCTGAGAAAATGCAGTCCCTCTGTGATATTTGCAAGAGGACAGCATTTCTTTGGCAGCCATCAAGTTTCTTTCTGCTGCCTTGAAGAATTAATTTGGCAGGGCCAAGACTCTGGGAGGAAATTGAGGCTGAGGACACAGTCAGGAAGATGTCAAGGATTTTGGCCAGCAGTGTGAGGGAATGTTTTTCTGTTCCAAGCTTTTCTGTGTTGAGCATTGATCTGATCTCCAGAAAGGAGAGGAGGTTTTGTTACAGGCATTTCCTTACAGGTTCAGACCACATCAACTTGATTATGGACAGCCTAGACACTCAGTAATACAAAAAAAAAAAAAGAGGAATTTGACTTGTCAATTCAGGTTTTTTTCAGGGATATTGGTTTTTTAAACATCATCACTCATGCTTATCTGGCAGATATATTCAAGACAAAGTCATGGTCAAGTTCATTGTTTAAGTGGCATTACTAAATAAAGACTTACTGAAGATCTGTGATGTTTAAAGGACATAAAACCTCACCTCAGCCAAATTGTAGCCTGATTTTGGCTCTGGCAGGAGTATTTGCTTCCTGTGGGAGATCATGTTCTAACATCAACCATGCACTGCACCCCTGGCTGAGCAATCTTGACAGACAAGGATGACATGCATAGTTGGAATTTTATTATTGGATACCGAAGGATTAAATCAGAAAAGTCTCTTCAAGCAGATTTTTAATTTCAAGAGATTTCAGGTGGTTGTTTTAAGAGGATTTTCACATGTAACTAATTCAAACACATTAAAAGCTGCATAAAACTTAGTGGCAATGCTGTAACAAAATTGGACTGGTTTTTCTAAACCTTGTTACATAGAAAGTTTCCTCACTCTCACCCAGCTCAGGTCTCATTTTGCCAGTCTGTGAGCAGGAGCAGGAGTGGGTATTAAATAGGTAACAGATTGGAAGGACAAGGGTAATTAGTGACATGAGCTCAGTATTTAAACATGAAGAGAAATGCTAAGATCTTTTTTACTTTGTCATGCTGTGCCAAGCAAACCACCTCACATTTAGGATGCTTAATTCAATTTGTGTTACACTGCTGATGATTATGAAATGCATTTTGAAGAGGTTTGTTTTATCTTCTCCAGAAAACACACAGAGACTCATTTACTACAAGAAAATAGAGATATAAGTAGAGACACACTTTGTGAATGCTAGAAGAGAAAAACACATTTAAAGAAAAGGAAAATATAGGATATATTTAAGAATTTAATGTCATTTAGTAAAACAGTGTCATCATGCTTCTAGGTTGGAACAGACAGAATAAAAAAATGCAAACAGCATTTTCTCTTTCATTGACATTTCATATATTGCTTTTACACTCCTGCACATACAGCTCACACATACATCTCCCTATTAATAATGGACTAAATAAGGCTTTACTTTCTTACTATTTCAAATAAGAGACTGATTTTGACTAGAATTCCTGGCAGGGTGTGCTATATTAAAAAGAGCCAAGATACAACATGTTTGCTGAATATTCAAGTACAAACACATCAAGCACTCTTTAGAGTGTTCTTGGGATCAGTCCTAGCTCCCTCTCTCACCTGACCTTCAAACAGATCTGTGTGCCAAAGAAAAGGATCAGTACAAATTTACTGCCCAACAATATTACATGGGTCTTTCTTTGCCATCACACTTGAATGGTCCCTTCTACAGCCCTGCAAAATGACATTTTGCCCTTCCAGAAGTGCTCCAAAGCACAGTGACTCAAAATGCCCTTCTGGGCTTGGCTGACCTAAGGGATTTCTCTTTCTAGCAAAGAAAAATCCTCACCAAAATACTTTGGAACCTTTATAGACACAACAAACAGGCTGAAAAGGTGCTTTCTTTGGGAGATTTAGTAGATACTTAATTTTATGTTCCCATCCATAAACAGTCAATGTAGGAATCAGCATTTATTTATCACCATAGTTTCAGATTTTCATCTTACACAATAACTCTGGAATTCCAAATGAATAGGAATAATATAGGTAGTAAATCCATCCTTTCATTTTGTTTAAGCCAGTGAGCTGTCTTCTGGATCTAAATTGCATATTAATTTTACTTTCTTCTTTTCTACCTTAAAGTTATTGGAAACAGCTTAAGAGATATAATGAAGGTAACATTATTATGATTATGATTATTTATGTTTTAATTGCCCAAAGGTCACACTGATAAAGTAATTGGAAATCAACAAGACAATTTGAAAGTAAATTGTTGAGATACACATTTTATATCTGTTCTATTTACCTTCATTTTTCTTGATGGTGAAGTTTGGGTTGTTGACCATTTCAGGAAGAAGGCTGTACAGGAAATAATGCCCATTTTTAGGATCATCCTTGTCAACAGCACTGACAATCTGAATTACCTGCAACATAAATGGGCTCATTAAGTTTTCATACTCCTGATAAACTGACAGTGCTGGAAAAAAAAGAAATCTATTTCTTGGACACATTTCATTTCTCTCCATGCCAGATTATAAAAGATAATTTATAACTTTGCAAGGCTTTTATAGACCTTAGAGTGAAAACCTTGGGTAGAGGAATTGTACCTGCCCCTTTTAAAATGTTTCCAGAACAAAGAGCCAGGAAATAAGGAGAGACAGGTAAGAGAGGCCAGCAGAACTGCTGCTGATTTAGACAAGTAATAAATTATTATTCAACCTAAAAAGGAAAGTTGGGCTTCAGAAACACTCATATTGTCTATGGCAATCTTTCATTTATATGACCACACTTCTCACTGGACCTGGATACATAATACACCTTCAATCCTTTCTCCTTCCCCCATCCCTCATTTCATTTCATTGAATAACTATTTTTTTTTCTTAATTAACATAGATGGGAAATTTTAGATGAGAAAAAAAATCAAAATTGAAAAAAAAGAAAATACCGAGAGCTGTATTTTTTCCCCCTTAATTCTAATAAAACTTCAGTTATTCCTCTGCTAGGAAAATATGCTTGTTTGTTTTTTAATAACATCATTATTAGCTAATGATTCCTAGAATAATGCAAGATAATTAGGTGAGAAAAGTGTTTTGGATAGTTTGGATAACTTTGAATAATCAAATAACTTTGTTATTTGTAATCACAACCTCGTATGATTTACATGACCAACTGCAGTGTCTGAAGTGGATTTACCTCTATTTGCAATTTTTACCCTCTACATTACTCAAGTACTGCAGCTAATCAACTTCAAATCATACAAAGTTGCACAGGACTGGGAAAGGAAGAAACACTATTTTAAAATAACCAGGAGGTTTGGGGTTTTTTGTTTGATTTTTTTGTTCTGCTTTGTTGGGATTTTTAAAATATTTGATGTACTTGCTTTTGATTCCAAAGGTTTTCCAGAAAAACAGAAACTAAACCAGCCATGGATCCAGATCCCACCCTCAGATCTGACTTTCAGGGCTAGTTAGCTCATGCTAGATGAGGTTTGTAAGAAATTTAATTAGAATTATTGACCTTTTCCATGTCCATTGAATCCAATAACAATTGTCTTAGGTATTTATTTGCAATGCCTAAAGCAATGAATCAATAATTTCTTGCACAATTAAATTCAAATTAGGAATCATTAAAAATTTTAGTTTTAAAGTATAGAGTGAAATGTGGAAGCAGGGTTTGATGCTCTCCAAATTCATAGACTTTTATTTTAAAATTTCCATATTTCCCTAAGAAAATGCCAATAGCTAACATTTTATTCTGGTTTAACCACAAGGGCTATCTGTATGTGCTATATATATCTGACAATAGTCAAAATCATATTTATGTTTTTCAAGAGTCAAAGAAAGAACAAGGTTTTACTAGATAACCACAGGGATCAACACCAAAACATAAATATTTGAGATTATGTCTATAAAACAAGGTTTCAGCAAGTAATGATATTTGTAGGACAACCCAGCTTAGGAAGGAATGTGAGACAATTAATTCTGAGCCTAATCATATCCTGGATAAGTCAGTTTTATCATTATTATTATCAAAAATTTACTGAAAAAATTTAGATTGCTTAAATAATGCATAAATAGAGGATTTTTTTCCATCTGTCAAGATGGAAATCTTGATAGGATTTCAAACAAATGTATTAGAAGAGATGGACAAATGAAAAGACCTAACTCAGCTTTTGCTCTTTTTACTTTAAGAGGTAGTTCTCCAATTTAATAGCTGAATAATGGATCCTAAAGAGGGAAAAACACAAACAGTGGAAAAATATCTAAGTTGCTTCTGCCTGTTCCAGTGCAGAGATGGAGCCATTTGCAGATGGGAAATATTTTCAGCTTTCTCTTTGCACAGGTGTCAGGCACTAAAGCACCCACTGTGATGTGCCCAGGGCTGGAGCAGCTACCAGTAATTCATCATCATAGGGAAGTGCAGTTTGGGCTGGGATCCTGAACAAGACAGATATATTTAGACAGATATATTTTATGGCTGTTCAATTTTTCAAACACTGATAGTACGGGAAAGCAAGAGGGGAAAAGGATAATGGCACACTGAAATCTGGAAGGGCAAGTGCATGTAACAAGTGCAGCTTATCAGGCTGTTATAATATTTTGTATGTACTGGCATTCCATCCATTCCCTTCATTGTTTACAAAATCCTTCTTTCTCTGAAAATGCATTAAAAATTATATGCAAAAGACAGGCTTAGTGCAATACTACATTTGTTGTGTTACATGCACACATCACAGAATTAAGAGTTAGAGTTCCCATGGCAACCTTATTTCTTTGTGCGTTTGCATTAAGATAAGCTCTTTGAAAAAAAAAAATAAAAAACACAACAGAAAACATAATATATATTCAGTGATATGAAATTGTGGTATCTTTTACTACATAGGGGTGAGAAAAGTCCAGTAATTCTCATTTCCAAGTTTACTAGTGTGCTGATAGGCATATTTTACTACTCTGTGTTGTGTGGTCATGCAGTGGAATATTACTGAAGCAATTCTCCAACTCTTAATTTGTGGCTCACAACACGGTTGAGAATCACAAAATCACAAAATCCCAGGATCACTGAGGTTGGAAAAGCCCTCCCAGCCCATGGAGTCCCAGCTGTGCCCCATCCCCACCTTGTCCCCAGCCCAGAGCTCTGAGTGCCACCTCCAGCCCTTCCTGGGACACCTCCAGGGATGGGCACTCCAAACCTCCCTGGGCAGCCCCTGCCAAGCCCTGCCCACCCTTTCCATGGGGAAATTCCTGCTGCTGTCCACCCTGAGCCTCCCCTGCCCAGCCTGAGGCCGTTCCCTCTCCTCCTGTCCCTGTTCCCTGCAGCAGATCCCAAATCCCCCCGGCTGTCCCCTCCTGTCAGGGAGTTGTGCAGAGCCACAAGGGCCCCCCTGAGCCTCCTTTTCTCCAGGCTGAGCCCCTGCCCAGCTCCCTCAGCCCCTCCTGGGGTTCCATTCCCTTCCCCAGCTCTGTTCCCTTCCCTGGACACGCTCCAGCCCCTCCTGGGCTCTCTTGTTGGGAGGGACCCAAAGCTGCCCCCAGTGCTGGAGGTCCCTCAGCAGGGCCAGCACAGGGGACAATCACTGCCTTGGTCCTGTGGCCACACCATGGCTGGCATAGCCCAGGTGCCATTGGCCTCTTGCCCACTACAGTTGTCTTTTCTTTCCTGGCAACAGCACACACCCTAAAGGTGTTCCATTATAGAGAAACTGGTCAATACTTGTCATAAAGAAAACAAGAATTGATTATTTTTCACTACATATCCAGTTAAAGTTAATAACCCTTTGGCTGTTCAGTATTGAAATTTCTGAAATTCTTACATGTAAAATTCCAACTTTGATGTTGTATTAATACTTCATGTACGCATTTGATTCTGTACATACATTTAACTTGGCAAATCAGCATATTTTGTTTAGCAGACAGCACTGGATTGTGATGAATAGTTAAATGGTCCCCTAGGACAACTTGACTTTCTAATTTGTAGATTTGTATTGTGCAAAGCCACATGTGCCTGAAATAATATATACAAGGATAAATAGTAAAACAAAGGTATTTTCAATGCATCATAACAATCTGTGCAATTTTAGCACCTGGTACTGTTTAAAAGACTTTTCCTGTGATGCAACCTGTTAACCTCACTATGAATGATTATCACTAGTAAACACTTTTCTAATTTTAATAAGACTGCTCTTCCAATTTTGGAAATCTGTTGCAGTCCCATTGCTGTTCATGGTTATTTCTGCACTACTTTGCAGACTCAGAACACAGCAAGAGTAGATTCACCACAGAGCAATTTTAACTTTGTCTGTCTGAAGAGCAGGTTCTGGCAGTAAAGGGATGTCTCTAGCTGAAAAGGCAAAGATCTACCCGAAGATTTTGCCCATTAGAAAGAAAAACAATTCTAGTTGGAGAAGTGAATAAAATAGAGACAAATTGCAGGAGACTGGAGGAGCACTGTACTCAGTTTTATATTGCTCCAGTTTAAAGCTGGTTTCAGATCTCATATATTGCTGTCTGCACTGCTCAAGTGAATATTTTGTAGCTTCATTTCCAGCAAACAGCACTTCCCTGGAAAAGTCTGAGTATGGACTGGGGAAGAGTGAGTGAGGCATTTTCTTACTTTACATTACAGAAGTTCTGTTCTAGGACTACAGGAAAATAATTTTACTGTGCTGGAGAACAACCAACAGCACAGCTATAGTCAGCAAACCATGAACGTTCTGGTTTTAGTAATTGGAATTATGCAAAAATAAAAGGGATAATAGGAAAAGGTAAAAGCTGATTTGTGGCTAACTTAGAGGTATTGTAACAGTACATTCAAATTTGGGGGGGGTGTTTTTCTTCCCCCCTAAAACTGACAGAAAAACCATTTCTGGCAACTTTCTGTTGTGTGTAAAAATGTGTGAGGAGCACATAAATACATGTAAAGACAAATATATGTCCTTCTCCTTCCCATTTGCAGTAGCAAATACAGCAATTATATAAGAATCCAAAATAGAACACTTAGAAAGTGAACTAGAATAGATGGTGAAACGTATTTAGTGGCTGCACATAAGGTTTTATCACTGGTTCAAATTTAATCTCCTTTATGGTAAATCTAATTTGACTTAAACCTAAATTTAAATGGAACTGCAAATGTCAACAGACAGGAATACCTTAAGACAATTGCACTTTTCCTGCACCTGTAACATTGGAGTTTAAGCTTTGGACAATCATCCAAATTAGGCTTTTGCTACTGTATTAGGAGGAGTATCTTTCTCATATCAGCTATTTCATAACTGAGATATATGTAGCTTCTTGAATTCTACATCCTGACTTATTAATATGATTTCTTCCAAAACTTGAATATAGAAATAAGCATAAGAAAATACAATAAGGCAGTGAAGTTACTAAAATCTTTACAGGAGCTGATAATTTTTGAATGACAACTTCAATTCAGAATCTAACCTTGGTGATTATTCTGGACTGGTTACTGTTCCAGTAGTGTTATTTGTTTAAACACAGAATAAATTGCAGGATCAGTGCACCTCATCCATGCTGGCAGCCAAATATTTAATAACCATCTGTAAAGTTCACATGAGGATTCATGCTCAAGAGTGACATCTGCCATCAGAGCAAGAGTGTAAGAGGTAATGGTACAAAAAGAATATCATGCTTTAATGAAAGTTTTCTGTAAGTGCTTAAACAAAAGCCTCTTTTACCTGCTGACTCTTAATCATCTCATTTATTGTTTTATTCCAAAATGAAATGTGAACATTTTTCACCATCTCTTAAACCACCTGAAATTCGATAGGAATACCTAGATAAATACAGTCAGAAAACACTGTACAACAGAACTTTCTGATCTTAGGGAAGCTCACTGAGTCCTGGATAAAGACATAGTCATTAGGATTTAATCTGTCCTGGAAAAAACTCAGCATCAGAAATCCACTCTGAGCTAGAAGAACTGAAATGCCAACAGTAACATGACTGTCTGCCCATAAGGGCACATCTTAGTGGATAGACAGAATTCTTAAATTCCTTAAATGACACATTTTTAACACCGTTTTACTAAACAAAAAGGGGTGCTAGAAGTTAAATCATCCTCTGTAACAATACAATCCTGGCAGAGGTGGGTTGTCATACACTGCTATGTAGGTTGTCATTTAATACTACTAAAAAGAAAATAAATTCTAACTCTATTGTCAGGTAACCTTCTTTGGAGAACAGTGAATTTAATGTCTGACACCCACATGAGACACAGGAATAGTTGGATTAAAAAGCCATGTCATGCTGTCAGCTGCTGTTTATTTAAATAAAATGTCACATTCTAGAAATAAATTGCAAAGTTTAAAAACATCGAATTGTTGTAACACTCAGTGTTTCTCTTGCTGGACAAAAGTTACATCTCATTTACACTGCATTACTTTCTAAATGTCTGTGCATATTCTTGAATCTTCACCTTGTCATTTAGGTGGCATATGAGATATTCTTCCCTATTTCTGTACATTTGTCCTTCAAAGTGAATACCTTTGAACAAATCTGCTTCATTTTCTTTGAAAAACACTAAACAGTTTAAATGCATCTTTTGACATGTTGCTGTTTACCTCACCTTGGCAAGTGCTGTGTGAATTTCTTCACCAAGCTTTTCTTCATTAAATGAAGAAGAAAATAACATTTTTAATATATTTTTTTAATATAATGAAAACTTGAACTTCCCTTCTCCAACATCATCGTCAAACACAATTACAATTTACTTCACTTTCCATCAAGTTCTGGTTTGCTGTCTTATTTTTTTCCCCAACTGTCTTAGAAATGTAAGAACTGAGTAGAGATTATAACTGAGGTCAAGGGTAACTGGGTTTATTGTTTTAACTGTTTATTCTAAATTGTGCCTGGGAGCAGCTGCAATAGGTCAATAACTGAACTGGAATTCAGGTTGGATTAGACTTACACCTACTAACACATATGAAACTTAGGAAGTGCTGAGCTCCATCACTCAGAGTGTGACATTGGGAGCTTAAAGACACCCAGGATTTTTTCAAGATATTGCCCCAAAGTACTCACCTTTAATCTAAAACTATACTTTAAGGGGAAAAAAAATTGTTAATTATAGAGACACATCCCACAGGAAGTGATGGTGGGTTTAACTAAGGGCAGTTAGCATGAACACATGGACACTCATTTTGAGAACAAAGATGACAGAAGGTGACAGGGAGAAACTTCAGCCCAGTCTCACAGCACACAAATCCTGGGATACTCACTTGTCCAGGCTTCCCATTCTCACACAGAAAGGCCTCGTGCTCCGATGCAAACTCAGGGGCATTGTCGTTCACATCGAGAACTTTGATAGCAACTGGCACCCGGGACACCTGGCTGTGGTTCCCTAAGGAAAGAAATCAAAGCACCCAAGGTAAGCGTAATTAATTGGGAATTAAATACAGCAGTGCCTGCACCGTGGCTGTGCCCTCCCCGTCTCCTGCCTGCTCTCTAACAGAGTGTGGAGTGTGAGCTAAAGAAGGATGGCCAGGGCTTTGTGGTCGAAAAGAATAAATAGATCCCTGCAGCAAACAGCATTTGTTGCAGATTAGCTCAATGAAGACCTTTCTCGGTCTAAACTGGTAAGATTTTTCTTTGATGAAGATTGTATTGTTTTATTGATAAAGTCCATTATACATGGAAAAGGGAAGGTTGCAAACAGCAGAGATTTATTTCTTTGTTTATCTTTGGCAGAGAACAGCACATTTTACTCCATTAATTGTTCTGGCTGCACATCTATTATTTCTTCATTGCAAACACACTTAAAGTGCTGACCCACATTGGGAAAAAGATGGATGGGAGACTCAGGGGCTGAAACTAGACAGTAATTTGGACTATTAAAGCACTTTGATCATCTGCCACTGACCAAAACCGTGACCTGTGAACTTCTTTCTTCACTGAAGTAAGGACTCATTATAAATAATATTGAGATATTTTGCATAAAATCGCTTATCACTGTGAAGAGTAGAATGAGCTGTAAGGCAAGAAAAGCTAAACCAACAGTTTGCAGCTGCCTGTGTCTTTCCTTCAATTCAGCATTGTTAGTTTGCTTAGAGACTGCTTATAAATATTTTAAATTATTTTTCCCCAAGGAGCAAACCCAGGAATTCAGTTTAAACTGAGGTCACCAGCTGATTTGGAGAGTTTGATAAACTGTTCCATAGCACACAGGTAACTCAATCCCAACTTCAAAGTCCATCTCTCAGTGAATATTATTTTCCAACCATGGAATGTATACAATACCTCGTTTGTATCATCAGCGATGAGAAATCTCAATATTCAGTGCACTTCTCAGTACAAATGACTACAAAGTAGAAGAAGATCAGGCCCCACCAGTGCTCAGGACACTGGTGGCAGCCCTACAAGTGACAGAGATGAATAAAGGCAGAATCACCATATTTTTGTGGTTTTGTGGTTTCCATCAGGGTTAATTCTGTTGTGACCTAATCAAACCCGATATTTTACAGCTCTGTTTCCTCTCTTGTATGCTAAAGACATCCACAATATGGGAGGCTCCACCCATAAATCTAAATGTGGAAATATCAATTGCTCTACTGACATTGAAATGGCATAAAAATAACAATTTTAAAATTGCAAACTCAAATATACCAGTGCTATAAAAGGTTTTATATTTCTGGGATCATCTGAAATATCAAAATTCCTCCTGGACAGGACATGGAAGATGCCCACACATCAGAATTTAAATGTTTTCCATCCTAAGGAGCTGACAGTTTTAACATGGAAAGAAACATATTACAGAAGAAAAAAAACCTCCACCAAAAATACTGTATGAGCAATATTTATGTCATTTTACATCTTATGATCTTGCTTACTAACAGGTGAGGGGAACACTTATGCCATGAAATAATAATGCATTTGAAACCAAATAAAACCTAATATGCAAATCAGGAATTCCAAACATTTAAAACACTTTTTTTATCTTCACTTAATAAAAGTACAGACAATGAATCTCAAGCTTATCAGAATTCTCAGCACTAGTGTCATATTTAAACACTAAAGATTTACTTTTATCTAAATTAATGAAATGATGGCAGTTCAAATTTTAAAGACATTACAGAGAAATGTAATTAATTAGATAAGCTTCTAAAGAAATTATTCATGTCCCCTTGTGACTGCCCCCAAAATGTTTGTCTTTCATCAGAAATACAAACATTAAATTTAAAGATATTATAATTAGAAACTTGATGAGAATTCATTTAAAAAATTAATTTACTACACACAAGAGAGACGCAGCTGGTTTGGAAATCTCCAGACAAGGGGATATCCACTGCCTTTTAGGGTTCCTGTGACTGTGGGGAGATTTATTGTTGAGGAAGAGAGAGAGATGGAGAGGGAAATGTATCTACAGCTTGTGCTGCCCACCACCCCCAATCCACTGCTTTATTTTGTCATCCCAAACTTCCCAGGGAAACTCCACTTTGTGCTAAGTGTTTTCCTTCACCCTGAGCTCACCTATTCAAGCACACTAATGAGTCCTCACTGAGCAAGCCCAGGCTGAAAACGCTGTCAGGATGACACAGCTCCATCTGTTCATTTCCATACGTTTCATGTCTGCACACTCTCGCTGCTACAACACGTACAGAGATGTCCAAGCTCAAACCCAGAGCTGCTGGCAGTGCCCCAAAACCTTGAACTGGGAGTAGGAAAGGATTGAAGTGGATCCAGGCTGGTCACAAGCTGCATGGTCACTGTCCTTCGGGCCCTTGGGTGGCTCGCTCATTAGCATTCAGAACTTCTCCTCATTTGTATGAATGGACAGTCAGTTCTTTCTTAACTAGGAACAAAACTGAGTTTAATTACTGCGTGGGTTTTTGTTTAGTTTGGCTTTTTGCCCAATAAACCCCTCAGTCAGTAGATTTAAGGGAGACTGAATCTTCTTGCATGCACCAGGTAGACAGCAAGACTGACTGCTTAACCTCCAATCTGTTATGCTGTGCAAAATCATTTTAAAAAGGCAAAGTTAGAGACTCTCTAAGGAACTAATCAGACTTCTAAAAGCTTTATTACTTGTCTTTATTGTGATGCACAGTTTAAAAAGACCTACCTTGAATTTTGCAATAGAAAAGTATCATTAGGGCTGCCAGTTGAGAAACATCAGCTTTGTTTGAAAACTTAAACTCTGAGAGGCAAGATTGAAAAATATTGAGAAAATTTCCACTAGTCTAGTTAAATAAAAGTCTTTTCGAGCTAGGGCTGCACAGAAAGACTTGGTTGCTCCTCTGAGGACACCACTCTGTGTCTAGATGAGCACAGAACATTTGTGAACTCCAGCAGTGAGATCCAGATGAGTACAGAACACACACACACACAGAAAGGAGCATCTAGACAGAGCCAAGGAAAGGAAGACTCAGTGCAAAAATAACTAGTGGAATGTAGTCTGGGTTGATAAGTAGACTTCCAAAAATTATGGAAAATCCACCTGGGTTTAGAAATGCATACTGAAAGGTTTACAAGGGTTATAAGCATATAAAAAGCTCTTCTGTTTTCTCCCCAGTTCACAAGACTCTACTGGAACATTAAATGCTCAAAATACCCAAATTGCTGGCACTCCTCTGAGTAACCCACTGAAAACTACTCAGGATTTAAAAATCCTGTAGAGCTTGATACCAAAATGATGAGGCAGATCAAAAAACCAAAGTCAAATTCAAACAAACAAAGAAACATTATCAAGCAACTCAGTGTCTCCAAACTTGAATTTTGGAGGCTACAGCCCATGTTTTACCACTTGTTATTGGGATCAACACTTTTCATCCTTCCTGGAAAAAATCTTACATAACTGAGATGTGCCTGTATTATAGGAAATTTGAATGACAAAGCACTGAGTGTTGTCAACATGTTATTGCATGCACCAAGACTTTCTAGGAGTAACTAGAGTTTATAAATATAATTTTTGGTCTTGTACCACAACTAACAAAATATAATGCAGCTTTTCAGCTCCCATAAACATTTAAAGACTTGCTTAAAACACTTCCCCCTATCTTCCCTTGCCTGATAAAATACTATTTGAGATAAAGAGAATTATTGTGGCCTAAAATGAAGCTTATAATTAATTTAACCCAAAGAAATCCAGTTTAGTTCACTTTTCCTTTAGGTAATTAAATCATCCAAAATCACTTCAACGTTCTCTTTAAAAAGTCATTGGCTGTCTGGCATTTTATCTAAAATTTACCTGAATAGAAAATAGATTCCTAGAAAATAACTTATTATTATTACCACCACCATTACCACATGGTTTGGAAATGGTTAATTCATGTTTCTCTGATTCAATGAAATTTCTGTGATAATAATATTTTAAATTAGAAGTAGAGGAAGTTGTAGTTCTAACAAAGAAATCAAAACAAAATCTGAATCACTGACTTAATAAAAACAACTCTTGGTTTACATCCCTTATATTTCAAACTTATTAACTTGTATTTTAACAGATCCAGTCCCCAAGCCTTTATCAAAGTTTTATCTGATGATTTTATTAAGATAATCCACAGGACAAGTTTATTTCTCCTGTTAGAGTTTATGTTATTGTTTTCTTTAGGCAATCCTTTACTTCTAGAATGCCACAGCTTATAACAATCTTTCTGTCATATAAAACTGACAAATCTGACTTAAAGAATCCTTAGGTACACAGATGCTATTGTGAAATGGAGGTTTTATTTATGTTGGAGCTTAACTCTAGAAATCACATAGTGCAGCAAATACTGGGCTCGTTTGTCTGCAGCATTGGGTAATGATCTGATTCAAGGGAGGCTGAGTGCCTGAAACTCACTCCAAAATTGTCAGGAAGACAGCAGTAATTGCCAGCATTGCTCTTAAAAATACCAGCTAAATACACAAGCTATTTCTGAGCTAGGCCAAAACACAAGCAACCAAACTAAAAACTCAGACAGAGCTGTTCACCAGAAGGTTCAGGTTCTCCATTGAAACAATTGCATTTTTAAAGGATGAGAAGTTGTGGATTATGGAAATAGCAATATAAACATGTCAATGCTTAGCAGGAAGGTTCCTGGGCGAGCTGCTAAGGCAAGAAACAAACAGGGCTTCCTAATTATTATTCAATTGGTATTTCTGCAGCACATGGAACACGCTGGAGGAGCACAGATTGTGGCGAGTGTCTGTGTGTACATGTGTGTGGGAGGGGCGAGGAAAGGAAAGGATGTGGAACATATTTCTCAGGTTTGTTCCTTCAGTCATTCTTTGGGAGAAAAATAATAAGGGAGTTGAAAAGTTTTGTCTCCTTTCAGCTCCGTGGGTTTATTTTGTTGTGGGCTCCAGAAGGATGAATGAGGCAAGAGCAAAGCTTTGTCACATTATTTTCTTATTTCCTAGACTGTC